AAGACAACTTATGTCTAAATGGAGAGAAACTTCGGTGGCAAAAGTGTTAGCAACAAGAGCTTGTCTAAATCCTATCAGTGGCAGTTTGGTTACCAAAGTGGATTATGTACAAAAGACAGTGCTCTTCCCTTGATCTAAAAAAGGACCAAGAAAGCATTGTGCAGCACAGGGAATCTTGCTGTCTAATTAAGAAACTTTGATTTTTCCCAAAATACCTTCTTTGTACCTCAGGGACAGGAATGGCTGTTAGAAGTTCCAGGATTTAGATGCTTTAAAAGAAATAGGGAGGGTGATAAAAGAAGTGGGGGAGTGGCATTGCTAGTCAGGGCTAGTGTAGCAGCTACTGAAAGGCAGTTCGAGAATGATATGTCTGCAGAGTCAGTTTGGGTTGACGCAAGGAACAGGAAGGGAGCAGTTACTTTGGGGGCTTTTTACAGACCCCCTAATAGTTGCAGAGAAGTGGAGGAGCGGATTGGGAGGCAGATACTGGAAAGGTGCAGAAGTCACAGGGTTGTAGTCATGGGTGACTTCAACTTTCCAAATATTGATTGGAAACTTTTTAGTTGTAATAGTTTAGGTGGAGCGGATTTTTTCCAGTGCATTCAGAAAGGATTCCTGACACAGTATGTAGATAGACCAACACGAGGAGAGGCCACTGTGGATTTGGTGCTTGGCAATGAACTGGGTCAAGTGTTAGACTTGTTGGTAGGAGAGCATTTTGGCAGTAGTGATCACAACTCTGTTACTTTTACAATAGCCATGGAAAAGGACAGGTGCATATGGCAGGGTAAGGTTTATAATTGGGGGAAGGGTAATTACAACTCTGTTAGGCAAGAACTGGGTAACACAAAATGGGAACAGATGCTGTCAGGGAAGAGCACGATAGAAATGTGGAGATTGTTTAAGGAATGCATACTGCGTGTGCTCGATATGTTTGTCCCTAGCAGGCAGGGAAGATGCAGTTGAGTGAGGGAACCTTGGTTCTCCAGAGAGGACGAATGACTGGTTAAGAGGAAGAAGGATGCTTATATAAGGTTTAGGGAACAAGGAACGGACAAGGCTCTAGAGGGATACAAGTTACTCAGGAAGGAGCTATAAGGGGGCATGAGAAAACCTTGGCAGATAGGATCAAGGAAAACTCCAAGGCTATTTACACGTGCGTGAGGAATAAAAGAATGACCAGAGAAAGGGTAGGGCCGATCAAGGATTGTAAAGGGAATTTGTGTACGGAGCCTAAAGAGATAGGAGAGGTCCTTAATGAATACTTTTCTTTGGTATCCATAACTGAGAGGGACCTAGTTGTAGAGGAGGACAGTGTGAAACAGGCTGGTAGGCTAGAGAAGGTCGATGTTAGTAAGGAAGATGTACTAGGAATTTTGAGGAAGTTGAAGATAGACAAGTCCCCCGGGCCTAATGGGATTTATCCAAGGATTCTACGGGAAGCGAGGGAAGAGATCGCAGGGCCTTTGGCGATGATCTTTTCATCCTCACTGTCCACGGGTACAGTGCCGGAAGATTGGAGAGAGGCAAGTGTCATTCCCTTGTTCAAAAAAGGGAATAGGGATAACCCCGGAAATTACAGGCCAGTTAGTCTTACGTCAGTGGTGGGCAAATTTATTGGAAAGGACTCTGAGAGATAGGATTTATGATCACTTGGATAGGCACAGTTTGATTACTGATAGCCAGCATGGATTTGTGAGGCGTAGATCATGCCTCACAAATCTTATTGAATTCTTTGAAGAGGTGACCAAACACGTGGATGAAGGTAGAGCAGTGGATATGGTATACGTGGATTTAAGTAAGGCGTTTGATAAGGTTCCCCATGGTAGGCTCAAACAGAAAGTAAGGAGGCATGGGATAGGGGGAAATGTGGCAGATTGGATTCAGAATTGACTGACCCTTAGAAGACAAAGGGTGGTAGTGGACCAAAAATATTCAACATGGTGCTCAGTTATGAGTGGTGTACCACAAGGATCTGTTCTGGGTCCTCTTCTATTTGTGATTTTTGTAAATGATTTGGATGTAGGAGTGGAAGGATGGATTAGTAGGTTCACGGACGATATGAAGGTGGGTCGAGTTGTGGATAGTGCGGAGGGCTGTTCTAGGTTACAAAGGGACATTGATAGAATGCAGAGCTGGGCTGAGAAGTGGCAGATGGAGTTTAACCCTGAAAAGTGTGAGGTGATTCATTTTGGAAAGACAAATTTGAAAGCAGAATACAGGGTTAACGGAAAGATTCTCGGCAGTGTGGAGGAGCAGAAGGATCTTGGGGTTCATGTCCGCAGTTCCCGGAGAGCTGCCACCCAGGTGGACAGAATTGTGAAGAAGGCGTATGGTGTGTTAGTTTTCATTAATAGAGGGATTGAGTTCAAAAGCAGTGAAGTTATGCTCCAGCTATATAAAAGCCTGGTTAGGCCACATCTGGAGTATTGTGTCCAGTTCTGGTCGCCTCATTAGATGTGGAAGTGTTGGAAAAGGTGCAGAGGAGATTTACCAGGATGTTGCCTGGAATGGAGGGAAGGTCATACGAGGAAAGGTTGAGAGAGCTAGGGCTTTTCTCTTTAGAACGACGAGGGATGAGAGGTGACTTGATAGAGGTGTACAAAATGATCAGAGGTATAGATAGAGTGGACAGCTAGAGACTTTTTCCTAGGGTGGAGGTAGCTATTACGCGGGGACATAGTTTTAAAGTGAGTGGGGGTAGGTATAGGGGAGACGTCAGAGATAGATTCTTTACTCAGAGAATGGTAGGAGCGTGGAATGCATTGCCGGAGAGGGTAGTGGAGTCAGCCTCGTTAGGGGCATTTAAGCAGCTATTACATAAGCATATGGATGATAATATAAGGAAGGGGTGGAGGTTAGATAGACCTTAGGTTTAGGGTAAAAGTTCGGCACAACATTGTGGGCTGAAGGTCCTGTACTGTTCTGTGTTCTATGTTCTATACCTAGTCTTTTGACTTGATAGGGAAATTCCAAGTGTCGATCTTACGTTTTCCCCTGCTGCAAATGTAGTAACTGCCTAGGAGGAGGGTCCTAGAGAGAATGTTGACATGTTCAGATGCAGATTTCTGTGCTGCAGTAGGAATGCCTCTTTGACACTGACATGATTGCTTGTATGACACTGCACCTGGTATTTGAGTCAGATTAGATTGGATTAACGTGATTGCCAGGAGGAAAATTCCATATATTTTATTGGAATCACTTTTTTAAATTGTTATGTACGCAGAAGAAAAGGTTATCAGGCTCATCACAAACTCTCCATGTTCTACACCCATCCCTGTGACCATGCTGTGCTTCTCCCAGAAGTAAGGCAGGAAGGAGACAGAGTAACTTGCAGTAATTCCGCTTTATCCCCGTGAGGACAAGCAGGCAATCCTCAGGAAACTCTGAGCTGGTCATTATTCAAAATGTCTTCAGTCTGGCTGCAATAGTTTTTCACAAATATGCCTCACACCTTAAAGAAAAACTGCAAGAAAGCAGCCCTTACTCCTACTATAAGATAGTTATTTTGAACTTCGAACGTTCTTAAAGTTTTGTCTTGTGCATATTCCATGACGCATTCTGCTTTCCCAATTGAAATATTGCCCTGTAGTTCTGTTCAACCACATCACCTCAAAATATCTTATCCAGCTGTATGTTATGAATGTTTTTAATAATTTTAAGATCCAAATCAAATCTGACAAGCCTGTGCTTTTCCAGTTAGTATGGATGTAAATGATCAAAGAAAAGTTTACTATATTTGGGCCAGCGATCATCCCTAGATCATCTTTGCCTCTTCTTTTGATCCAATATGATTGAGATGTATGGGAATCCGAATGATGTGTCACCGATCACTTGGTGAACTTCTCTGCGAGCTAATTTATACTCATTGGTCAGTGCAATAGAATTTAGGACCCTGTTCATCTTGGCCACAGCACCCAAACATTTAAAGTGCAATCGATGACTACCTTTAAGTATCTTCTTTTTACATCCATGTCCATTAGAAACATGAATTTTGTGGATATGTTTACGTAATTGTGCATGATTTTATCTTGCCGGATGTACAACCACTTCTCCAGCATCTTAAAATCAAGTGGTTATCCTTTTTCTTCTAAGATTCTATTTGCCAACTTTTGTTGATAGAGTTTAACGACTGTACTCTACACTTTAATTTGATAGGAAGGAACTTGGCATCAATCCTGGATATACCATCAGGAGGAATTTTTTTTTGAATAGACAGTGTATTCCTGCCACAATCTCTTTTTTAACTTGGGCATAGAAACTTCCAGTACTTGGTGGCATCTGAATGATTGGAACTTCCACAGTCAGCTTAAAACAAAATCCCAAAGGAAATACCTGATTCATTGTGATGCGAATCCATCAGATATAAGTTCTATTACTCAGCCTGAAGTTAAGATCTAGAGTTCTGTGTTTGTTATGAAATTTATTCAACTGTATATATGTGTATCTGTGAATATGATACAGATACAGCAGCCCAACTTACCTAAAACCACAAAATTTGCAGTCACATTGCTTTTTGATTAATATTATTCTCTTTACTGTTCTTTCAATCTTGGTGGGTTAGTCCACAAGATGCTCAGTTTTCGATCTAAGTTTCTCAAAGGAGAGGAAAAGGAAAGCAAAAGCTTTAAGTACTAAGAAGTTGCATTTAGTTCTGTGTCAATGGTAGATTAATTCACTTGTGCCTGGGCACTGAGAATACAGTAGCTCAAAATATGCTCTAGTGCGAGGAAGAATTTGATGTCTGTAGCAGCATTTATCAGGAACACCTTTACTGTCAGAAGAACACTTGAGTAGTTTAGAAGTGTTATGGACATTGGATTCATACTTTCTTTTCATTTTTAGCTACTGATTGATAGTGTTGGTACCAATGCTTGAATTATGCCTGCTGAAGCGTTGCACTGTACTAGTTTACTTTCATTGTACTTATCCAAGTTTTGAGTGAAAATTGAATTGGAGAAGTGTCTTTTGCAAATAATCTTTCTTCCTTTACATTTCAGAAAAGGTGACTGTGCCAAAGCAGCTGACACCTAAAGACAAGAACGTTGAAAACATAGCTGTAATCAGTGATAAGCATGAAAAGAAACTACGCTCCAATATGCGAACAACAGAAAGAGACCATAAGAAAACAGTGCAATGTGCATTCATGTTAGACCCTATTACTGGGTCTTCTGCAAAGAATTCAATTCCTAACAAGCCTTACCTCTGCCTTAGCTGTAGTAAGTCCAACTCTCCAGTTTCGGTGCCTGTTAGCAGACCGACACGGCAGACTTCTAGAACAGATTGCCCAGCTGACCGCCTGAAATTCTTTGAAACTTTGCGATTACTTCTTAAGCTTACCTCCGTTTCTAAACGAAAGGAGAAGGAACAGAGGGGTCAGGAAAATACCTCTTATGAATTGAACAGATCAAATGAACTTATTTGGCTGGAGCTGCAGGCCTGGCATGCAAGTCGTAGCATAAGTGATCAGGATGTTTACCTTTACACTGCACGCCAAGCTGTCCCTGATATTATTGATGATGTTTTGAACTTCAAAGTAAATTATGGAAATCTGTGTGCTTGCAAAAGAGATGATTATGTTGACGCTGCTGGAGATGATGAGATTTTTCAACAGAAGACGGAATGTTTTAGGACTTCAGGAACACATGTCTTTGGTCACAATGTTTATCAGGAGCACATTCAGTGTCAGAGAGTTGCATTTGAGCAGGTTAAAAGTATTATGGAGCTGCTAGAGTCTGTGGAAGCACTTTATCCGTCATTGCAGGCCCTCCAGAAAGACTATGAGAGGTATGCTGCAAAGGACTTTCAAAGCAGAGTGCAGGCACTCTGCTTATGGCTAAACATAACTAAAGACCTGAACCAGAAATTGAACTTAATGCGCACAGTCCTGGGCATTGAGAAATTGCCAAACATTGGCTGGCCAGTGTTTGAAATCCCATCTCCTCGTCCTTCTGGAGCAAGTGACCCAGATGAGGAAGGGGAAAATAGTGACAATTGCTCACAGACTTGCCTGTTGGAAAATGAAGATGCACAAGGTCATGAAAATGAAATCACTGAGTCACAAAATGACAGAGAATATAGTGCATGTAGGCGCAAAGCAGGGGTACACGTTCATTTTCAGTCGTTGGATGGTTTCCCAAAGACATTTGAAAGATCCATGTCTGAAGATGAGGCACCATTAATGGGAAATCAGTCTACTGAGTGCCCATCTGACATTAATGTCAACAGAAATTGTCAAACCTCTATTTATAGGCCTTTTGTTGATAAAGCACTGAAACAAATGGGATTACGGAAGCTCATAATGAGACTTCACAAGTTAATGAATGGGTCCCTACAAAGGACTCGAATAGCACTGGAGAAAGATGTTAGTACACTGGAGGTAAGAGCGCTGATTTACAGTCAAAACAATGCTGAAATTGTAAAGATTTTCAAAATTTTGTTCCAAGACATTAGTCGTATTTTAAATCTGTTTTTGCCTTTTGTGACATGTTGTTTAATACCTTTTAACTAATATTGAATGGTAAAATTCTCACCTATCAGAAAAATACAGACAATGAGTGGTATGAAAGTAAAAATATAAAATGTTGACAGTATTAGTTTGCCAAACAGCATCCATAGAGAGGAAGAAGTTAGCATTTCAGGTTGATGAACTTTTATGAGAACTAGAAGACATCAGTAATTTAACAGGTTTTCAGGAAGAGCAGACTCGGGGAGTGTACTGGGAAGAGTGAATAAGAAGTAAAGGACAGCCTGTGATAGGGCGAGGATGATTAAATACAGTAAAGGATAACGTTGGCAAAAGAGATGGTAATGACACAAATTGAGTTTAGAAGTCAAACATGAGTAGGGAAACAATAACTTGAAAGGCACTAACTGAGTGTGAAACATCCTAAGGCATGTCACCGGGGTGTTGCCAAGACACTAAAGCACTAACATATATGTTGCAAAAACAGATGCTAATGTCGATTTTGAGGAATGCAGATAGTTTTGGTATAACGTGATAGCCACGTTCCCGTGGGACCTCTCACTATAGAGAATCGTGCCATAGAAAATCACTGCAGAAAATCGCTAAATCTGTACAGCAGAAAGCCCACCTTATGCAAACAGTGTTCACTGATTTGTCAATTGTGTTAGCGCCAATTCGCATTGATGAAAAACTTGTAATAGCAGAACTACCTGGATCTTAATGGAGAAGAAAGAGGTAGATAACTTTTAGTGATGATCCAGATCCCACAGTCCAGGCAGCTGAGGGAATTTCTGCCAGTGATCGAACAATGAAGATTTCGTGTGCGCAAGCCATCAGGATTGGAGGAGCAAAATTTTAGATAATTATAGGACTAGAAGAAGTTTGAGATAGGAAAGGATAAAGCTGTGGAGGACTTGGGAAATAAGGATGAGGAGTTAGAGGCTTTACTGGAATACCAACTATTGTAGACTGGCTACTGATGCCCGAATGGAATTTAGTGTGACAATGATTATGCGGTCACCATTAGGCTAGCTTTCCATTAGTTTTCATTGAATTCCTATTTCAGCACCTGCCATTGTGGAATTTGAACAAGTCCACAGAGCATTAGCCTACCATTCTGGATTACCAGGGACATTACCATTGCCTCCCCATATATAATATTCCCACTTTAGCTTTATATCAGCAAATTTGGGGCACAAATGGTCCCTTGGCACTTCCAGTGTAAAATTCGTACATTGCAGTTTTCAGGCTTGTGGTTAAAAAAAAGTTTGCCTGCCAAATACCCATATGTGCAAAAAATGTAATGGTGTTGCTGATATTAAAATGATAGACTTAGGAATTGCAGAGAAACTGGTATAGGTGTAATTTGCATTCTAATTTAAAATGTCAATTACTTTTTTATTTGGATTAAAACTTCTAATTTATTTCATTTTTTGTATGCTTGAGAAATAAAGAATGCAGTCTTGGGGTGGATATGATTTATGAAAATAAAAATGATTGCAAATTCTTTAGATTTCACTTCCACCTCTTGAATTATTTTTAAAATTGTCATATCAGCTGTACAACCATAAAATACATTATAGTAGCATTCCTTAGGTAGTTTGCCCTGCATTCCAGGTTGTAATGTAGGCCAAGTAAAAGTCTTATGATTTTAAGATGAGAGTTCTGCATTTTCTGAAGAGAATCTATTTTGTTGACACTCTGGCAACAGCACTGAAAACTTGTGCTCCAGAACTTGCTACACCCCTAACCAAGCTACTCCAGTACAGCTACAATGCTGGCATCTCCCCGACGATGTGGAAAATTGCCAATGTGTGTCTTGTACACAAAAAGCAGGACAAATCCAACCTAGCCAGTTACTGCACCTTCAGTCTGCTCTTGATCATTAGTAAAGTGTTGGTAGGGGTCATCAAACGGCTTCTGCTTAGCAATAACCTACTCAGTGACACCTGGATTGGGTTCTGCTAGAGCCACTCAGCTCTTGACTTCATCACAGCCTTGATTCAAACATGGAAAAGGAGCTGAATTCCGGAAGGGAGATGAGAATGACATCAAAATGTCATTTGACCAAGTGTGGAACCAAAGAGTCCTAGCAAAACTGGAGTCAGTGGGAATCTGGGGTCAAACGCACGTTGGTTGGAGTCATACGTGGCGCATAGGAAGATGGTTGTGGTTTTTGGAGGTTAGACATCTCAGCTCTGGGACATCTGTGCAGGAGCCTGTCAGTATTGTGTCCTAGACCCACTATCTTCTACTTTATCAATGACCTTCCCTCCATCATAATGTCAGAAGTTGGAATGTTTTGCACTATTCCCAACTTCTCGGACACTGAAGCAGATCATGTTCATATACAACAAAATCTGGACAATGTCCAGGTTTGGGCTGACAAGTTCATGCTGCACAAATGCCAGCAATGACCATGTCCAATAAAAGACAATCTAACCATCACTCTGCGACATTCAATGCTGTTACCACCATTGAATGGCCCACTGTCGACATCCTAGGGATTACCATTGACCAGAAACTTAACTGGCCCTGCTATATGAACAGTGGCTACAAAAGCAGCTCAGAGGCTAGGAAGACTGCAATGTATAACTCGCCTGCCTGACGCGCCAAAAGCCTAAAAGGCACAAGTCAGGAGTGTGATAGAATTCTCTCCATTTGCCTGGATGAGCACAGCTCCAACAACACTCAAGAAGATTGACAACATCCAGGACCAATCAGCCCGTTTGATTGGCGCCATAATAACCACAAGCATCCACTCCCTCCTCCACTGACACTCAGTAGCAACCATGTGTAATATTCATAAGATGCAAGACAGAAATTCACCAAAGACCCCCTTACACCTTCCAAATCCATGACCACTTCCATCTAGAAGGAAAATGGCAGAAGATACATAGGAACACCACTACTTGCAAGTTCCCCTCCGAGCCACTTGCCATCCTGACTCGGAAATATATTGCTGCTTTTTTTTCACTGTTGCAGGGTCAAAATCCAGGGACCCTCTCCCTAACAGTATTGTGGGTCTGCTGACAGCATGTGAACTGCAGAGTTTCAAGAAGGCAGCTCACCAGCAGCTTCTGAAGGCCAACTAGGGATGGGCAATTAATGCTGGCCTGCCAGCAATGCCCACGTCCTACACTATAAAGAAAAATCATGTCTTTGTCATGTTAACATAATTTTATTACATAAATGGGCCATTTGATTCTGCAGGTCCATACTCTTGTTTATACTGCACACAAGCCTTCTCCCACTCCTCTTCATCCAACCCATCACTGTATCCTAATCTTTTCTCCTTTAAGTTTTTAGCAACTCTTGAGTACATGTATACTGCTCACCTCAGTGAGTGGTTGCAAGTTCCATGTTGTAACCACTCACTGGGAAATTTCTTCCTCATTCTCTCTTGGATTTATTAGTACAGAGCTTATGTTAATGGCACCTAATTATGGATACCTCCACAAATAGAAATGTCTGTTACTTTTAAAACTTCTCATTGTCTTGAAGACCTTTTTCTAACAGCCCATCCTTTGGTATTCTGTGTTCCGAAAGAGTGCCAGCATGTTCAGATTTTCCTGATAGGTATAATTTACAGTTTTAATATTCCCGTAAATCTCTTTGCATTATTTCCAGTACTTCTATTTCCTTTTTACGATATGGAGATGCAAACAGTTCACAATAATCTTAGAGTTGTTATAACTTCTCTGCTTTTCATTTCTGTCCCTCTATCACTTTGAGGCATTGTTTTGAGGGACATTTCAAATGGCAAGAGGCTATTTATCCTGGGTAATTTTAGTGGTGTATTCCTGGCCTTTGCTTCTTAGTCATCATTGAGTGAACAAAGTCAACAATAATAGGAAGAATATTGTTAAACTTGAGAGGGTGCAGAAAAGATTTACAAGGATGTTGCTGGGACTGGAAGGTTTGAGTTTATAAGAGGAAGCTGAACAGGCTGGAGTTCTTTTTCTTGGAGCGTTGGAGGGTGAGAGGTGACCTTATGGAGGTTTATAAAATCATGATGGGCATGGATAGAGTGAATGAATAGCCAGGGTTTTTTTTTGTTCTTAGGATGGTGAGTCCAAAACTGGAGGGCATAGGTTTAAGGTGAGAGGGGAAAGATTTTAAAAAGGACCTGAGGGGTAACTTTCTCATGCAGAAAGTGGTGTGTGTATGAAACAAGGTGCCAGAGGGAAGTGGTGGAGGCTGGTATAATTACCCATCCAGATGCCTTTTAAATTTGTATGTGAAGGGATATGATCCCATTGCTAGCAAATGGGACTAGGCCAGATTGGGATGTCTCATTGGCATGGACAAGTTGGACCGAAGGGTCTGTTTCCTTTCTGTATTACTCTGTAATAATGGGTAATATCTTCTTGAGCTTTCTGCCCTGAATGAACTCTGCCACCAACACTTTCTTTCATGACAGACGTTGGCATAAGGTTACATGGCATCATTCAAGGATTGTTCATTTTGCCGGCATGAGAAGGCATGTTCTCCATATGGCATCTAGCATAGTGCAGATTGTGACACTGACCACACTCTTGCCAGCAGCAGTGTGTGGGTGTACCTCCAAAGTTTTACAGTTCCAAAAACGATGGCCTGGCACACATCAGCATCCCTTGCACAAGTAACTATCAGAAATTGGCACTTTGCCCTGTTGCTAGAATGATTTCTTCCCATCCGAGATATACCAGAAACTGCTGAGGCTGGATTTGAAGTTGTTAAACTCCATCAGCTTTGGAACATCTTTTGGTAAATGCAAAATAACAAAGACTGGAGACCTACTCAAGAACATCCTCCATGATGCACTTCATAAATTCAGCAGAAGTCTGGAAGATACTTTCCAGGTGAAAGATATGGAGATATTGCCAACATAAACTGGATCAACTTATTTCAAGAAATCCAGATGTCTTCAATAGTGCAAAGCTACAAAATTTGTAGAAAGAAGTTGAGGATGTTTGGTCTTGTTGTAACTAAAGCTGCCACTCTAAAGTTTGCAGATGGTGAAATGCTTTCAGACAGAAGTAAATAGATATTTCTGTGAACTGTATTTCTGGTGTGATGGATATATCAGAGACCATGCTTGAAGCTCTTGCACAATGTCCTGTCATGAATGAGTTAGATCGCCTGACTGGAAGAGGGCATACAGTTCTTAACAAGCAGGCAAGTGTAAGGATGGAATCCCGGACAAACTGCTCAAGTCAGGGAGTTCCATCAATTGCCATACCTTTATGACCTTGACCACTTTTGCTGTGCCCTGTCATTCCATAAGAGATGTATGATGCTAAATCATTTTGCTATACAGGAAGATTGCAGAAAACTGCAACAAAATACGGCATCTATCTCCTTAGTATTATGGAGAAGGTTTATTCCTAAGGTTGTACTTGCTCCTTAACTTGCAGTCCTTGCCGCAGATTCATGATGAGCACAAATGTTGTCTATATACCAGCTGTAAAAGAAGTTTAAGGAACAGGACATAGCACTTGAGTTCTCACGGGTCTCAAGAAGGCATTTTGACACTCTTCACAAGGAAGGAGTTTACAAGATTCTGGGGAAAATAAGATCAACAAAGCTTATCAGTATGGTCATCTACTTCCATGACAACTTGACAGGCGAAGACCGTCACACATTCAAAAACTTTTTGTTGAGTGAAAGTTGGTAGGGTCAGGTGATCAGTTGGATACCCAGAGATCCACTTCAGGGATGTTTGCAAGAGTGAAATGAATTGCCTTTGACATAGATTATCACACTTGGGAGTCAGTAGCTGATGACAGGAAAATGACAACACCTGCTGTACACTAGTGCACACCATAATGACCAGTGCCTATAGCAGTTTGCCAACAGACTAACGCTGAAAATAACTTCATTACACTTGCCAGAATCCGCACATTACCAGAATTGCGCTCTTCAGCCAGCAGCAAAGATGCACTATATGCCTGGTGCTGCTCCTAGCATGTGTTTCTGCACTCCTCATTGACTGAGTGATAGGAAACCGAATATTGGACTATCTTGTGTCTGTTTTGCTGCTGTCCTTATTATTCCAGGACTTCCAACTTTGCTGATCAGTCTGTGTGGCAATTCTGGAACTGCATGTATATGACATTAGAATAATTACTTCTGTTGATCCTCTCTATTACCTTATCAAAGCCTCCGTGTAGTCCGTTAAAGGAGCATTTTCCCTGAACGGATCAGTGCAATGTTACTTTAATTAATTTACATTTTCCCATGTGATGACTAATTTTGTCATTAAATATCATTTCTAGGAGGTTCCCCACCAGCATGGTTGAACTGACTGGCTTGTAGTTGCTTGGCTTGCTGTCACAGCTTTTGTTTTGAACAAGAGTGTAATGTGTGTGATTCTGCCATATAGTGGCACCTACTTTTGAGATAAAGGAAGACTCTGCTGTCAATCGTAAAAGCAATGAAAGGCGTCATCAACAGTGCTGTTAAGTAGCTCTTAGTCAGTAACAGATGTTCGCTGATTCTCACTCCTACCAGGAACATGATAGATGTTGGCCAGTATCAGGCATAACTTCTAAGATACTGAAGCAGTCTATGCAAGTAAGCTGTGCACCACAAAAGGTTCTAAGCAATCCCCACCTCCAGCTAATGAGCGTCTACCCATTCCCCATCCCCACAAAATTCAGTGGTACTTAAATTATTGACACCTCCAGCCTCAACATCCTAGGTATCAGTATTGATCAGAAGCTTAGTTGGATTGACCACACAAGTGCTCTGGATACAAGAGCAGTTCAGACATAGCAAATCTAATGCAGGTAACTTGTTTCCTGACTGTCCCAAATCTTTCCACCATCTACAAGATTCGAGTCAGGAATGTTATGGAATATCAGTTACTTGGATGGGTGTATTTCTACACCTGAGAGACTCAGCACTGTCGAGGACAAAGTAGCCTACTTGATTGGCAACCCATCCACTGCCTTTAACACACATTTCCTCAACCTGCAACATTCTGTACCAAACATACTATTTACAAATTGCACCATAAGTATTTGCCAAGGCTCCTTCTTTCAGATGTTAAATCTGTCGCCCAGTAGAGGTAGCAGGTGTATACGAACAGCACCAGCCGTGGGTTTCCCTCCGAGTCCTGATTTGAAAATTTATCACCATTCGTACATTGTCACAAGGTGAAAATCCTGGAGCTCCTTCCCTTAACAGAACTGCAGATGTACCTATACCACATGGACTGGAGCTCTTTAAGATGGCTCATTAAACATCTTGAGGGTAATTGAGGAAGAATAATAACAGACTGTTAAAACTAATTGAAATTCAACTTCTGTTATGATAATCTACCACCTGTCATTCAGTGTCCAAGACGTGAGATATCATTATTGTGCACTCCATGCAAAATGTGATATAAATTGATACTCTGAGTTAAGCTAAAGTTCTTGGTATTGTTATTGAAAGATCCGATATGAAAAACTGTTGAGAACAAACATCTTTGTTTCAGTCGTGTATCACGTGTTTGCTAATGCCAACTAATGTTGATGGGATAATATTGGTGTTTGCTTTATTATTTGCAGCATTTGGTAATGTCTTTTTGTTCTGTTGTGTACTTTGGCTCTAGGGCCTTCAGGACTGATAAAGGATTGTCGATCTTAACAATAACTCTGCTTTTCTGTCCCCAGCTGTTGTCTTATCTGCTGAGTACTGCCAGCCAGCATTTTCTGTCCTTGCTTGGAAAGCCACTTTGGATACCTTGTCTTAGGCTGGCAGAGTTCATGGTTGCTTTACAACTGAGATGCAGCCTTGAACAATTGTTTGTTTTTAAAAGATTGCAAAATGTATTTGATAATTTAGACAAACTGAACCTCAAAGGCTAATTTACAAGGCATCTATTGAGTTAGAATTTGGATCATCTCCCTGAACTTCCCCGGTTGTAGTGAATTTCCAATTTCCCCGGTTGTAATGAATTTTAACTGTCTTGTTTTCGCCAGACGTTTTGTTGTCGTAAGGAAAAAATGCAGTCTGTAAAAACTTTGTTTTGACAATTGTCAGGACTTGGATCTTTAATTAACTAGAACTTGTTCAATGAAATGAATTGGGTGTTTTTCTGAAAATAGCTGTAATGTTAACTGCAAATGTCATAAACAGCATATGAAAGTCAGCTTCTTGAAGGCACGGGAACAGATCTAATAATGACGGCAATCTAGCCAGATAGTGATAAAGTAGAAGGGGTAAGAGAAAAGTAAGTGAGGGTGAGCAAGGAGAGAGCAGAAACTACTGTGTGGCTTTGGAGGGGAGGAGGACAGTGAGAAAAGCAGTGGTGGACAAGGAAGAAGATGGCATTAGATGCAGAGGTGAACAGTTAGTGGGGTTTAGATAATGGCTAGAATTATATGAACTGGAAAGGTTGGAGAAAGGGGACTTTGATAGAGTGCTACTGTGTGAACTGATTCTAATTGTAGCTAGGGTATTCCTCGAGTGGGATGGTGACTGAAGTGGCACTTGATGGCCTGATTGGTCTGCTGTAGATTTTTTTTTGGTCTAAAAATGTATCGTAAAATGTGGAATAGCTTAAAATTTGCTTTAGAATTTTATATGTAAAGACTGTAATTTTATTGAGGGAATGTACACCAACTTTGTCACTAATGTTATCCCTTCTTGGGTTTAGTGTGTTTACCCAATGGTAAGTAAGTAGGTGGGGAATTCCTATAAGATAAGTTACAATGTACATGCAATGACTTGATTTACCTTCCATTTGGAAATTAATCAGGGCAAAGGCAAATTGTTAGTTAAATTATTGCTAATTTCTTGAAATTTGTATAAATCTACTTATCACTCCTTCAAAGAGAAGGGAGAATAGGTACATCCGGGATAGTAGTTAAACAGATACAATGGCAGATACCATTTGTATGTCATCTTGTGGTGTAGAGGGTGTGGTCCTGCTTCTGGATCAGGAGGTCTTGATTCCAGTCCCATCTACCAAAGAGATCTATCATAACATGTCTCAATAGGTTGGCTGAAATACTTGAAAGCTATTTTGTTACTGGTCAGATACTGTCCACTGATTTCCTATGTCAGAACTGAAGGTTGAACCAGGTTCACTCCATTGTTAAAGCATGCAGTTATAAAGTTACAGTCTCTTTTGTTTATATTACAGTTCTCTGCTGTTCCGGAACCTTTGAGCTGCCATGACTATCTGCCTGAATTGTCTCACATGTCTTCCTGCAAAGAGCAGAAAGGCAGTACTGTGTCCTGGGAACAGCTGGAAGCTATGGAACTCCCATCTTTCCAGCCTGCTTACTTGGTTTTATGTCGAGTTCTCCTCAACGTTATTCATGAATGCTTGAAACTGAGGTTGGAGCAGAGACCTGCAGGAGAGCCATCATTGCTCAGCATTAAACAGGTAGCCTATCAGAATAATCTGTATCATGGAGTAAAAGTTAAATTTTGTGCCTGCTTTCATAATTCTCTTGGAATTTGTTGTGTGATTTCACATATATTTTCTTTTTTTAATGGCATTGATCTGCAAACTTCCGTAGAAAGTTCACTTTCTATTTAGAGTACTCTGTAACTATGATTAATGTATCTGCTGGCATGGAATTATCCCTTCTAAATAAAACAATTTAAGCTGTTTTTAGAACTGTCGGTGTTTTCCATATTTTTGTAGAAAAGACATTTTTTGAATGTAAGCTAATGCTTCTTGTCACAAGAGCAGAACATAGAACAAAGTGCAAATGTATGATTAGTTCAAATAAATTACAGTAAACGAAACTATTATGTTTAAGCTGTGCTGTAAATGGACTAATGGTTTTTTTAAAAATAGTTTCACTATAAACTGTGTATTTACCTTGATTCAGTACTCTCTTTGTTTTCTGATTGTAAATCTATTGGAGTGGTGCATCTTGCACTTTATGTAATTAGACTTCTGTGCTTCCACTCAAATTTCTTTTTGGGCTGCATAACACTGGACGCATGAGCTGATAATGATCCAGGAAGGGCAGCAGGGATTTTGGACCCGTGATGAATGATGGAGATATGTTTTTAATCTTATCGATGTGAGTTAAATAATGAAAAACAAATAGGAGATGGTGTGTGAATATTGAAATTGATGAATTAAGAATCTAATCAGTCGCCCTGTTATAAGAAGGATATTATTAAGCTAGAGGGGGTTCGGAAGAGATTTACCAGGATGTTACCAGGTATGGAACGTTCGAGTTATAAAGAAAGTGTGGATAAGCTGTGACTTTTTTCACTAGAATGTAGGATGTTGAGAGGTAACTTATATAGAGATTTATAAAATCATGAAGGGTATAGATAGGGTTAATGGTAGTTGTCTACCAAGAGGATTGGCTTAGAAGAGAAATATGGGAAAAGAAAAAGGGAAAAAAAAAAATTTTTCAATATCTTTTTAAGAATAATTTGTCTCCTTTCTGGGCTGAGAGCTCGATCAAAACCATAGTGATCATTATGTCATTGAAAGGAACTGTTGAGATCAGGCCCAAATGTTCTGCATTGAATTTGATGTGCAGTTATAGCCAAAAAAGGCAAGCTGTCAAAAAGCATAGAGAAACTTCAAGTTGGAGTGTTGCTTGCTTTAGAGAACATAGTATAAATTGACTAGTATCTTCTGGATATCTGTAACTCGTGGTATGTCTCCTCCAGAATCTTTTGACAGATACATACGATAATAACATTAATGCATCATTTTTCCAACAAGACTTGGCTTATGTTTTTGCTAGAAAGCTGTTTTCAAAGCAATTCAGTTACAGTGAAGAAATTAGATATTTTGAGCAGCTAGTGTGTTGAGCTCATATCAGAAACTAATAATTTTGTAAATGAAGCTGGTTTTAACAGGCAAGAAGACTTTGTTCTAACTTATGGTCAGTTTTCATATGGCAATCACAGGGTTTCGGCAGGCAATAATATTCTAGAAAACAATGTGGATTTGATATTGAATTCCTCGGAGATCCTATTGGCCCCTGCAGTGCTCACTCCTATGTCAAACTACATTTTAACTTTTAGAAAGTCCTGGCAAAACTCAACAGACCTGGCGCTACCTATGCAGAGGGAAGGGTTCTCTCTCTATCTCTCCACGGATGCTGTCCGACCTGATTTTTTCCAGTGCTTTGATTTTATTTCAAGTCTCCAGCATCTGCGGTATATTGCCTTTTACCAAATGATATTAGATCATTGTTTTCACCAATTTTATCCCTTCCTGTCCTCTTCCTCTTGTTGATGTTTTGTTGAAATATCATTCAATGGACGCCAGTTTTCGTTTGGCTCCTTGCTCAAGTGACAGCACTCTGTGTACATGTCATCAGGTTTTAAGTTATAAGGGAGGTTTGATGGCCAAGCTAATCCTGATGTCACCTTGACTTTCATACAGCTAGCAGGAGTCTCTTTATTTTTAATGATAAAAGTTCAACGTCCTGATTGATATTACCTATGCTTGTGCATTGGACTTGATATCGATTTATGGTGCCCTAACATCAACCTGCTTGAAATCAGCTAATTCAGAATAAAGCAAATTTTCGTGTTGACTCAAATGGAAATTTTAAAGCCGGTAATGACTTATTACATGTTGACCTTGTCAAAGAACTCTTATGTATTTGGACTTCTCAGTAAATGTTTCTAAATTCTGCATATAACGGTTATTTGTATTACAGTTGGTCAGAGAGTGCAAGGAAGTGCTGAAGGGTGGTCTCCTTATGAAGCAGTATTATCAATTCATGTTGCATGGGATCATGGATGAATTCCAGCGACAGCAGAAAGTTAATAGCAATATCGATGAATTCGAGGAAGATCTACATAAAATGTTGATTGTGAGTATATAGGTAATGATTTTGATAAATAATGAGTTAAACTGGGTTTTTTTTTTCCTGTTTTAATAACCTGGTCAAAAAATATTCGGAAATGCATTCTGTTACTGTTGTCGTGCCTGAAAATGGATTCCATAATGACAGCAACAGAGAAACTGACTAACTCAATTTAAATTTACTTTAATGCCTTTTGATTAGTGATGTAAATCATAATCTTGTTTATAAAGATTTCACACTGATACCATGTCAAACTGCCCCTTCCATCATTTCTTTTCCTTTCTAAAGGTTTGATCAGTTTTTGCTTTACTTCAAGCTATGCATTGTTAATGTTAGTATAGTTTAAGTATCTGGCTTTTATGACTGCATAGTATTAATCTTGTAGTAGTGATTTATGTAAATTTTTATCTACAGTTATTTTTGTCATATGAATTATAAATGCCTAAGTTATTAGAAATGATGTATCACCACCTTTCTACGTTGTGATTTCAATCACTACACAATAGACAACTGCATCTACAGCTGTTTGGACTCTGGAATTCAGTCCCTAGTCTTCCACTTCTCTATCTCTCACCTTTTTTAAGATTCCCTTTAAAATCATCTTTATTGAAATTTGTGTTCTAATATCTCCTTATGATGTTCATTATTAGTAAAGTTGTGAGATGACATGACTTAAAGTGCACCCCCTCCTCCTTTCAATCCCCACCATGATGACGTGTTATGGTGGAACTGTGTGTTTGAGTGTGTTCTGCATGACAGGCAGTTCTGTTTCCAAGACTAACAGGCATTGGTGTTCACTTATAATTTTTCTTCTCCTTTGATAACTTATTATAACTTAGGTCTTTAAATTGTTTATTTCGCAGTGTCCTCATCGGCAGTGTATACATAACATAGCTTGGAGCTAGTAACTATGTTGTTGTATAGTTCTATTGCAGCAAAAGCAATACTACATGGAGTGTACCTCCTGGGGCAGACAGGAATATGAGTGTACTGGTCCACAGTGCTAAGATATGCCTTGTAAAGTTTGGATAGTCTGCTTTCTGTGTCAGAACTTTTTTTTCCAGTGCCGTGCACAAGTTTCCTTGGTCATTACAGGTTTATTTTGATTATATGCGGAGTTGGATACAGATGCTGCAGCATTTACCCCAAGCTTCCCACAGTCTGAAGAACCTTCTTGAAATAGAATGGAACTTTACCAAAGAAATAACGCCCTGCATACGAGGAGGAGAGGCCCAAGCAGGAAAACTCTTCTGGTAGGATCTTTGTTATTACAATTACTGTAAAAAGTTGTTTTTTTTTTTTAAAAAATGTTATCTAGTTGACAGCTGAATAGATGGCAGTGCAAGATTTTCACATTTTAAGGTTTTGTGATCCAGATTAAAAGCACTATTGACTAAACGTTACTATTTTACGGAACTTGTACATAAGTGACAACAGAATTTTCCGTTTCACTTATACTTCTGTTTTTACTTTTAACATAATCAAAAATTCAACATCACAAGTGCAGTTTGCACTGCCCCTTTTAAGTGGTCGTGCCCCTTCAATTTTCCAGGACCCACTCCAAAATTTTTTCCTCTGTCCTGAAGGTATACCATTCTTTTTATTTTACCAGTCTAGTACCTTTTTAACCCTGGAGCTGCCTTCAGTGGCAAGGGCTCGTTTAGTAGAGGTTTTTCCTCCAGCACAAGTCTTCCAATTTTGTTTCAAATCCTCATGAATTTAGCCTTTTGTGTCTGAATGTAAGCTTGAAACCACATATCTATGTTACCTGGGATCCCTTGAGGTTCACTCCTCTAAGCATCACATAGAGTACATAGAATCCCTATAGTGTGGAAAGAGGCCATTCAGTTATCAAGTCCGCATCACTCTGAGCAACAGCCTACCCAGACGCAGCCCCTTGCCCCATCGCTGTAACCCTGCATTTACCATGGCTAATTCACCTAGTTTGCACATCCCCAGACACTACAGACAATTTAGCCTGGCCAATCCATCTAGCCTGCACATCTTTGGACTGTGGGAGGAAACTGGAGATCCCGGCAGAAACCCACGCAGACACTGGGAGTATGTGCAAACTCCATACAGATAGTCACCCGAGCGTGGAATTGTACTTGGGTCCCTGGTGCTGTGAGGCAGCAGTGCCAACCACTAAGCCACCACACTCCCTTAAAGTCCTTGAACTTTACTTGCCAAAGGAACCTAACTCCACAAAATTCATGCTTGGGGGGAGGTGTTGAACTGTCTACCCCTGCAATCAGAAACTAGTAAGCTGCCATGTGTTGACCATGATGTAGAGGTGCTGGTGTTGGACTGGGGTGGACAGAGACAAAAATCACATGACACCCAGGCTATAGTCCAACAGGTTTATTTGAAATCACAGGCTTTTGGAGTGTAGCCCCTTCGTCAGGTGCAGTAAGAGGAAAGCACACAGACACAGAGTTTGTAGGCACAGGATGAAGGGCAGAGATAACAGGATCATACAACTGGTGGGTGTGGAGTGAACAAACCTAAAATGGCTGGCTGATTACATCGTGTTGAATCTTTAATCATTCAATACTTCTTGCATCCTAGAAATTGCAGAAGCAGGATATGGAGAACTCTGTTAGAAAGGAGACGTAAGTTTCAATTGATTAAGATGCAAATTCCAGAAACTGTTTCAGATCAGTGCCCTGAGATAATTAAAGGTTTCATCAGTGTCTGCCTAACTTTCCAAACTTCAAACAGGTCAGACACTGAATTGTAGGCGTGAGGCCTTGTTCAGAATTTGTCTGAGTTTTAACCTGGAATCAGGCTGGTTTTATTCCGAAAGCAGGAATTTCTAAAATGCGACACTGACTATGACTACAAATTGTGTGTTTCTTGAACAAAATAGAATGTATCTGCAAATGAACAAACATCTTGGATGAAATGATTCACCCCATAAGTTTATATATGAGAGAGAGAGGGTCTTTGTGTGAGTGTGACAGCGTGTAATAAGTAATGGAAAATTGTATAAACTAATTAAGGTAGAGAGATCATAACAATTTATCATGGTGATACTGTCAAAACAAGACAGGTAAGGAAGATTTTACAGATGTGGTAGGGTCACCTGTAGCGCAGCCTGAACCCAATATCACAGCTGAGGCCATCTTTGTGGGTACGAAACTTGGCTATTCGTCTCTGCTCGGTGATTCCGCGTTGTTGCGTATCTCAAAGTCTGCCTTGGTGGATGCTTATCCGAAGATCAGAGGCTGAATGCCCTTAACCGCTGAAGTGTTCCATGACTGGGAGGGAACACTGCTGTCCAGCAATTATTGCAGTGTCCATTCATCTGTTGTCATAGTATCTGCATGGTCTCGCCAATATACCATGCCTCGGGGCATTCTTGCCTGCAGTGTATGAGAGAGACGACATTGGCTGAGTCACGGATCTGCCGTGTTGGTGGGTGATGTTCCCACATGTAGTGATAGTATCCATATCGATAATCTGACATATCTTGTAGAGGCTGCCTTGGCAGAGTTATGTAGTGTTGCAGTCGATGTTGTCCTGAGGGCTGGGTAGTTTGCTGCAAACAACAGTGTACTAAGATTTGGCAGTTGTTTGAAGGCGAGAAGTGGAGACGGAGGGAAGATATTGGCGAGATGCTCATTGTCATTGATGACATCTTGAAGGCTGCAAAGAACACGGCGTAGTTTTTCTGCTCTGAGGAAGTACTGTACAGTGAAGGGTACTCTATCGGTCATATCCTGTGTCTGTCTTCTGAGGAGATTGTTTCGGTTTTTCGCTGTGGCACTTCGGAACTGGCGATCTAGGAGTTGAACATTGTGTCCATTCTTATGAGGGTGTACTTCAAAACCTTCAGGTGTCCATTGCGTTACTCCTCATCCGAGGAGATCCTGCGTATGCATAGGGCTTGTTTGTCGTGGTTGGCTTTTTTAATATGTTTAGGGTGGAAGCTAGAGAAGTGCAGCATCGTGAGGTTATCCGTGGGCTTGTAGAGTGAGGTACTGAGGTCTCTGTGCATTATGGAGGTGCCTGTGTCCAAGAATGAGACTGATTCTGAAGAGTAGTCCATGGTAAGTCTGGTGGGACGAAACTTGTTGATTTCACTATGTAGTTGTCTTAGTGATTCCTTGCCATGAAGAAAATGTCGCCAGTGTATCAGGTATATAGCGTTGGTTGGAGGTCCTGCGCAGCAAAGAAATCTTTCTCAAACTTGTGCATGAAAATGTTGGCATATTGACTGTTACGAGTGTCTGGATAAAGAACTGATTGTTGAAGGTGAAGATGTTGTGGTCAAGGATAAAGTGGATGAGTTGTAGGATGACTTCTGGAAATTTGTTGGTATTGAGTACTGAGGCTGTTGCAGCGATGCCATTGTCATAGGCAGTGCTGTTGTAGAGTGCGAAAATGACCATTGTGATGAGGAATGTTCCTTGTTTGACTGGTGAGTTGGTGCATGCTGAGTTTCTGCAAGAAATCTGGAGTGAAGCGAGAGAAGCTGGGAGTTCCTTATACAGTGGGCTTCAAGATGCCCTCGACATAGCTAGAGGGGCTCTCATGCAACGTCCCATTACCTGATACGATGGGACGTCCAAGTGTTCCATCCAAGATGTTTGTTTATTTGCAGATACATTCAATTTTGTTCAAGAAACGCACAAATTGTAGTCATAGTTAGTCAGTGTAGCATTTTATAAATTCTTGCTTTTGGAATAAAACTGGCCTGATTCCAGGTTAAAATTCCTGAGACAAATTCTGAACAAGGCCTCCCCTACAATTCAGTGTCTGACCTGAGATGTCACCTTTTGTAGATTCCTATCACTCTGCCGGCTTGAACTTTGGAAAGTTAGGCAGACGCTGATGAAACCTTTAATTATCTCAAGGCAGTGATTTGAAACAGATTCTGGAATTTGCATCTTAATCAATTGAAACTTGCGTCTCCTTTCTAACAGAGTTCTCCATATCCTGCTTCTGCAATTTCTAGAACGCAGGAAGGTATGAATGATTAAAGATTCAACACGATGTAATCAGCCAGCCATTTTAGGTTTGTTCACTCCACTCCCACCAGTTGTATGATCTTTTGATTTCTCTGCCTATAAACTGTGTCTGTGTGCTTTCCTCTCACTGCACCTGACGAAGGGGCTACACTCCAAAAGCTTGTGATTTCAAATAAACCTGTTGGATTATAACCTGGTGTCATATGATTTTTGGCTGTGTGTTAAAGCATTTCTAATATCCTTCCTCCTCTTTCCCCATGCTTTCAACCCAAGGGAGTTGATTTCAAACATACCTCTACCACAGAACCTTTAGATCAGAGGTTTATTATTCCAAGCTGATCAAATATCTATCATATCTATGTGACTTATTAGTACTCATTGAAAATAAAATTGTAATCTTGAAATGCTGTTGTATCTCAGTCATGAGCTTTTATCATTGGCTAATCAAATAGCATGTTGTTTACAGCAATACCATTTTCTCCACAAAGTATTTCCTGAATCGCTCCCAATATGTAGTTTTATCCTTATCAGGATTAAAAAAGACCTCAGAACTGGCACCCCTAGATAGCTGTTATCACGATATGATATAATATTACATCCAGTCTTAAAGATTAGGTCCAAGAATTGTAGCTTAAACGTAAATAAGGGCACCTGTGTGGACGTGAAAGCTGAGCTTGAACTGGCATACTAGGCTAGGGGATAGATCAGTAGAAATGTATTAGCAGACGTTTGAGGGGATATTTCAGTATAAGTTTATTCCTATCATGAAGAAAAGCTCGAAAGGACAGACCCACTGTATGTGGTTAACAAAAAGTTAGGGAAACATTTAACTGCTCAAAGGTGAGTGACATGTCAGATGATTGGTCAGAATGTAAAGTGTATAAACAACGGAATGACTTAAAAGTTGGTTTAGGAAGAAGAAATTAGAGTATGAGAGGTGTTACAATCCCCACTAATGTTAGATCCCAGTCAGAAACCCAGTCTGAGAAATCATAATTTTATTTACTTTAGTTTTAGCAAAGTGGTCTCTCACTGAAACATAAACACACATTGCTGCAGATTTAGAGAGGTTTTAAACACACAATAAAAGTAAGAAATAGTCTAAAACAGAAATTGCTGGAGAAACTCGGCAGGTCTGAAGAAGGGCCATTCGAAGTGTTTAGTGCTTTCTCTCCAACAGTATACCAGATCTGCTGAGTTTCTCCAGCAATTTGTTTTATTATTATGTTTCATGCCTTCAGCATTCATAGTTCTATGTTTTCTTTTAGTAAAAATATGAT